GCTGAAGCTTCATCTGCTGCAAACGGTGGAGCTGAGACATGGGAAGAGGTCGTTCCCCAAAGCGCATGGATATGGATGGGGCTGAAAAGATGCAGCATTGTGCGAAGGATCAGCCTGGAATTATTTTTTTTTTTTTCCCAGTAGAGGATTGTTGTCAAGAATGACCTGCTTCAAAAAAACTAGGAAATAAGAGAAGGAAAAAGAATGAAAGAGTGACTTGGAGTCTGCTGGAAAGTGTGGCGGCTGCTGCTTGGCTCAGGGCCTTGTTTCAGTGAAAGCTACTTAGCATTTTTATAACTGATGGCAAAATTGCACACTATTAATGGGCTCTCCTTGGGGCTATAATTTATTCTTATTTCTCAGAGGCAATGGAGTAGAGGCCAGATCGCTTTATCCTCTGGTATTAAAAACCCTGGGGCTGAGCAGCTTAGTGCTGCTTTGTCAGAATTTTTTCCATCTGGCAAAATAATAGAATAAAATCATCTTATGCTGAGAGTTTCTTTATATTTTGAAAGAATGGTCTTTCTCTTTCAATTCAAAGCCTTCGGGGAAAGGCGGAGGGAGGGGGGTATGTGTGAGTAAATGTGTATTTTCATTCATTAGCTGCCTTTTCTATGTTCAGGAGCTATGATTCCTGACTCCCAGAGTTCCTTAAACTTCTCTGGGCATCAAGGTGGAGGCAGGCAGAGGTTAAAAACCCTAGAGACATGAAAGATTTATAGGATCCAGAGGGGTGAGGAGATCCCAGTGGAGGTTACAATGTCATAGACAGGGTAAACTGAGTCTTATAAAAAAAATTATTTTCTTTAAGGTGAAAGGCTTTTTTTTTTTGTTTGTTTTCATCAATGTTTATCAAAACAAAAAGCAGACATCTCTAGCAGTGAGTCACATCAATTTCTCATGACCCTTTGGAAGTTTCTTGGGTATTTTGAAGTCACTTGGTCAATAGGACGAAACCTCACCAAAACGTACCATGAGTTTCTGGAGATGTAACACAATAGTGAATTACTAATATTAGGAGTACTTTGAGTATGCTCACACAAACTAAGCTGCATCAGTTGACAACATCAACTAACTTTTTAAAGATAAAACACTCACTGAGTTTCTGAAGCCAGAAACTAAATCTATTTCTAAATGTTTTGATGTGAACAGTTCACCAAGGTCTAGTCCCATAAAGGAAAGAAGGTGCAGGTACATGAGGGGAAAAACTCCAATACCAGTGAAAATAGACCTTAGCAGGATCTCAGGGATGAAGGCTAAAGAAGAAAGAGTGAACTGGTATCAGCTTTTGTAACGTTTTGGTCTCTTCCCTCCCCACACTGTAAGAATTACGTTTCAGTTTAAGAAGACACTTGGGAGTAAATTCCATGAAGTCCATAGCAGAATGCAGCACAGAAATATCCTGTAAATCTGAAATCTCCTATATCCCGTCCCAGAGTTTTAGCTATCAGCCTGAGAGTCAATAACGGTATCAACTTTGCTTTCATACGAGCTGTCCATGAACCTACTCCAGAGTCGTGGTTGCATGCTCCACTTGTAAAGAAAGCCTTGAATACAAGCTTTGACTGTTAGTTTTTTGCAAAGACCACGTCAAAATACTACTCCAGAAAATTCAGTTGAAAAGATTTCCCCATCTCCTGAGCACAGGCACCTTGCCAGTGGTCCATTAGCCAAAAAGTCTTGATATTGCGTATTCTTCCCATAATCTGGTTATGGTTTAATCTGTGTTTACACAGCATTGTTTTGAGGAACCATTGGCAAATCTGTGGGTTATATGCTGGACAGTCCAACAGCAATCCTACCCCGAGCCAAACCAGAGCAATCTGTCAGCTGCAGGTCTTGCAGGGTTTTAGGTTTTGTTCTGGGACGCTCACAAAGTTCCTTGTTTACCCTAGCCGTGAGGTCAGATAGGAAATTTAAACCAAGGTGTTGCCTAATAAAAGCAGGCTACGGTTGTTCAGAGAAAGACAGCTCTGGGCAGCAGTGGGAAGTCGGAGAACTGCTCACATTTTATCGCTGTACCTCAAGACCCCAAGAACATTTTCATTGGGAAGAGAAATTTCATTCAAGAATTTAGGATGATTAAGTGTTACTGATATTCGGTCCTTCACATTCAGGTATGTCAAATGGATCTGGAACAAGGTCTTCAAAGTCTTTTCTCGGCATGTTTCTGATGCACACCATGTGGATAACGTTTGCCTGTCGACTTTGTCGTTCACAAGGAGCTCTATCTTGAGGTCGGTGGGGCTGTTGGAACAGCTGGGAAAATGAAAGTTCAAGTGGCAATAGATCAGGTACAGGCCTTGTTCCGTTATCACCAGCTCTTCGCTCTTGCACTGGATGTCTTCACAAACACCTTTCTCCACCAAGCTCAGTTTGGAACTGTTGACTGGATTGGACACTAGAAGGGAAAGCAAAAGCAAACACATTTGAAAATGAGCCACTGAGCTCTAGTGACCTGAATTCGGCCCTAGGTGACTTGCAGCAATGCATTTCCTGGTAAATGGAGATACTGGTTCAGTGGATTTTCCTGCACGAAGCTCCAAGAAAAGGCCCTGGCCAGACAGCTGGGAGGTCACACGTGGAAGTGGAGTGTGGAAAAGTTCCAAGGACTACACAGTCCTTTGGGAAACCCAGGGTAGGGAGATGCAGTGAAAATGGCCTTCTGCAATATTTAAAGGGAAATAATGGAGATGTATATTCATGTGTTTGTGTGCAGAAGGATTTATTTTTTCTTATCAAGTTAAAAAAGATGTTTATGTGACCAGACAGGGGATTTACTGAACACACCCATGTTTTGAGAAAACTAAGGAATTTTTTCCTATAAAATGCCCATTTGGTCAAAAAGTTATTTGCAACTAAAACCAGTTTGAATAACATGAACAGCCTGCTCTCCAGCCAGCTCTGCGATCTCTCTTTGCCGAAGCTTGCCCTCCGCCGGGCTCCCCACTGACCTCTCATGTACGCGGCGGCTCTCTTGGTCGGGACATTCTGTAGGATTCTTAAATAGTCTTCGGAGGTGTTCCCTGAAGGAAACAAGAGACTAAGTGACAACTCCTCATTTTTTTTGGTACTGTAAAATGCTGTCAGCATTTGGCATCTCACTTATTTGCTATAACTGTGCTATGGACAGACTCCACAGCAGCAGCTCCAGAGAACAGCATGTAGGAGAGATGAATCTTAGTCCTTGGCTGATAATCATAGAATAGTTTGAGTCAGAAGGGACCATGGAGGTCACCTAGTCCAACCCCCCTGCAGTAAGCAGGGATAATATCTGATCTGCACAGGGAATTCACAGCATTCTAACTCTATCGGTAAATTTATAACAGTCTAAAGCTCTGGTAGATTGCAGTTATTGGTCAAAAAAATTCTATTTCTTATTCTCCTTCTTACAAATACAAACCATGTGCAGGTAAGCTTAATTTCCCCGAATTATTTGTATGGTGCAATTACAGAAAGAGGATTTTAAACATTTAACTGCGAACATTATATTTCTGCGAATGGCTCTTTGGGTGCTTTAGAAATGTCCCTCTGCTCTCTCACGGCGAAAACGCCGATGTCGCCAGGGCTTTCGGTCAGGTTGTGGGTTGTTCAGACCCAGTAAGCCTCCTGCT